CTATATATAAAATCACATCCTTGAAATTGTAAAATATGACTACACGATAAGTGTACAACGTAGTGCTAATAATAATAACAGAAGCGATTATCTCAAAAATCTGTGCAGTATTTAATAATTTCAATATTGTCGAAAAGTTCTTGAATCAGTTTGAATTTTATTCATTATTATGCTTATTCATATTACTATTTACATCTAAATCTACTGAGTTTAATAAAAGATAAGCCAGCTGCAAAAGATAAGTTTTTAAGCTCAGTGTATTTATTTGTAAACCAACAAAAAGGAAAAAGAAAACATCACGTGGCCATAACAAAAGGCCAAGTTGCTAACTATACGAGGCAGCCATTTTGGTGTTGCCGCAAACTGCAGCGGACTCTATTTAGAAAAGCAATTAGTTTTTTGGTCACAGTTTCGCCCTACGGCACATAAATTTCAACAACTTTTGGCGGTGCTGTTAGCATCTCGTAATCGAGTCGGGCCTAAAGAGCATTTGGACAAGTCAAAACCAAGCAGCCATTTCCGTGCATCTAAATGGTGGGCGACAGTGCGGTCAAAGCGAGACGAGAATTTCACTGTCCAAAACTAAATAAATATTTACGCGCTTGTGGCCAAAATGCGAAATAGACACATCAACAACACCAGTGGAATATCGGAAGCAGCAAAAAATTGTCAATTCCCAAAGCAAACAAGTCCGAAGCCAAAGCAATCAGGGCGAACCGGTTGAAGTGAAAATCAATTTGTCAAATCGAAAGGATTACAAATATATGTGTACACATTTTGTATATGTTATACTGGGCTGGGGATCCTTTCGAGTGGCCTGCCTGTCTATATAAATCAAAATATTTCCCAACTGTGCGTAAACAAATTTGTTTCGAGTGCTGTTCTCAAAAGGGTTATTCACTCTCGGATGCTGTCAACCAATATACATATAAAGTTTACAATTCGCTGCCTTCGCCATTAGGTGTGCCAATTAGAATAGTGAAGATTTTGTAAAAAATCTGAATCCTGCCACATCATTTAATTTGAAATACATAATTGTACAAGCGATGCAACCCATCCCACCGCCACTTTTCGAATGTGAACATTTTTAAATTATTGCCCTGCATTGCCAGCGGGCCAACACATCATTTATTGTGTTGCACAATCCGTCACCCCGACCCCGACCACGACTCAGACTACAGAAACGTACTTCAAGTCGCCTGCTTTCAAATCGATCCGATCTACCCGGCTGCGTAATACGCGAATTTAAATAATCTTTTGTTGTTGCCCTGCAGCAAAATGATAAATTATTAAATTAGCTGTGGCGGCAGTTTTGCATGTCATCGGGGGTTGAGGACAGGGGACCGGAGTCCGGAGCACCGGAGAAGTGCCGTGATTTGTGCGTGGCATACCCAAAACCGTTTGCATTTGCCTGCATTTCCGCGTACTCGTATATAAGTATATACAGCAGCGCAGACATCCTTTGACTGTGTTAGTAAAATTGAATTGTCTGGGGACAAGTTTGTAATAGAGTAAAAGGCAGAGCAGTTAAGGACATTTGCCAGACTCATTTTGTTTTAAATTGCTGGGCTGGTTTTTGCTAATTTGCCCATTACATTAGGCAAGGATGCAAGACATTGCCTGCTCCATTTTGTTTGCATGCCAAAATGGAGCAAAACACAAGTAAATACACTGGAAAACATCGAAATAACTTTAAATTACAAGATATACTTTTTGTTAAACTAACTATACGAAATATCTTTAATATAATTATTGAAATTCAACTGAAAACAGTTAGTTTAGTTAACTTTTATAATACTTAGACTGAAGAATTGATATACAACTATCAGAGGAATTTCGCCAAGTGCAGCCCATTTAAAGGGTCTCGTCGCACACGTATGCCCATTTACAATGCAAGCAGGACAATTTACAATGTGTTTTTGTTCATTATAGAACTATTTCAGCTGACCTCCACGGCACCGCCCAAAAAAACCCCGCCCAAGGCGATATTCAACACACTCGAAAGCCGCCGCTTGTCGCCTCAGGAACAGAAGCGGAAACAAGGGTAAAATCCGGACCTCCGACTGGGATGCTGCGGCTGCTGTTGCCGCATTTTGAACCTTTTTGCCGCCCGCAGGGGTAGCTAATAAATAGTTGCTGTTGCCAGGACGAGTTGGACGACTCTCAACACACATTTGTTGTGAATTATGTTGTTTGTTTGAGTGTCGACTTGATGCACTTTAATTGATGTCAATATGCAGAGATTTTTTGTTTTGTTTCGTTTTTTTTTTTGTGTGTGTTTTTTTGTTTGGTAGAGGGGTTAAACAATTTTGTAGATTGCATTTCGGTTGTTTACAAATATTTGCGTTTTTTTCCTTTTTAGCCGATAAGGGCATATGGCTCAATTGTGCTCAAATTGTCGACGAAGCCAAAACAGATTTGTGTGCCCAAGTTTGCTGCCGGTGTCGAGCACTTGAGCCAAATATGCAAAGTATTTGCGCATATTAAAAACTAATTTCAAAAGTCAACATGCCAATAAAAACAACAAAGTCTGTCTGAGGGTGGCCCACAGCTCATCCTCGGCACTCAAGACGCTGTGAAACACACCCCTTTTGATGGCTGCCGGCGCCCGCAAATTAAGCAAAAGGCACTCAATGTGAAAAGACTCCCCCGCCATGAGCGTACCAGCAAGTAAGTGAACATAATTTAGAAAATATGTTCCAACGGTTAATATTTAAGCGAATTTAAGGGTTGCTCCGCCCAATGGCAGCCAACCAAAATGCGGGCATCCATTCTTTGGGGGGTGGCTGTTGCACAAACAAAAGCCAAAAGTTATGCCGAAAATGATATTTTTCATTATTAAACACAATAATGTGGTTATTATTTTTATGATTGCGGTTACCAGCCAGGCAAGACCCCTGCTCCTGCTCCTGCCACCCAATTGTATTCCCGGCGGATGCCGCGCAGCATTCAGAGTTGCATTCATTCGGTTAGTTTGTTTATGTTGGGCTTGCGGTCTTTGGGGATTTGAGCACGCTTAATTTTAAGTGCCCGTCGAAATGGCAAAACAAAAAAAAGAACCAAAGCGCAGCATGTAATGAAATATTACGGCTTGACCAGGAACAGCAGGAGCAGCAGTAGCAGCAGCAGCAGCAAGAAATAGCTGGAGCCGAAGTTGCTTTTTTGTTTGCCGTGCGGACGAGCGAACAAAGGAAAACATTTGCGCCAAATGGTTTTCTGGTAATTAAAGAATGACTTAAGGGGATGAGCGCCTGCGAGTAGGAGTTGGGGGACCACTTGGCTATTTTAAGGCACTTTCCCCTACAATACACTAAATCACAGCACGCTCCCAAAAACATGATCTATAACAGTCTCCGCTCCCCGCTCGCTTCTCACGCAGCGCAACGCCCAGAAACTAGCACCTCTAATAAGGCAATTAATCAACATAATTACCAGCGATTAATCATAAGCGGCATCATGATGCATGGCAGACCGTTTTGAGACTCAACTGTTGACAGTTTTGGGCGTTGTTTTTTGATTTTTTTTTCTGGAATAAAGGAAACTTTAAAAAACTAATTTACAAATGCGAGAAAATAAATCAATGGCAGAATATAATGCTCAGTGAACTGTGAGTCTGATGGCTGGCCGCTTGCCGTAAAAGTAAAATCCATCAATCCCTTGAAATGTCAAAGCCACAAAGCAACAGCTAACAAATTCCTGTAAATCCTTCCTTGGCCTGTTTAAAAGTTAAAAAATCTTTTGAAGGTTGTGCGACACCCTTTCAATGCTTGTCATATGCTTAGCATCTCATTGACCCGTGGCAGTTGCAGCGCAGTCGAACTGAAAAGTGAAAGGGACAAGGATGATGCCGGAGAAAGGACAAAGGAAGCTACTAGGTGACAGCTAATCAGTTTAAAGTGCTCCTTGTGTGAAATGCCATATAAGTATATATGTGTGCAAGTTCGTGGGTTGCCGCACATTTTAATTTGTAATACGAGTCGAAATTGGGTGTAACTTCAGACACGCTGCCATGGAATTTAGGTGTGGATTACACGAAACTAACTGAAAGCGGATGACACTGAATGCTGAATTGATGCCGCTGGATTTGAAGCTGCCAAAGATTTTGGAAAGGCACAAGCCGCAGACATGTGTGTGTGTACAAGTGTGACTAAAGCTGATGCTGGGAACATTTTCACAGACCACAGAGACAATGTCGATAAACTAAAGACGAGTAACAGCAACTCATTCCCAATGTGCTAGGCAATGATAAAACCCAAAAGAACAATTATTTTTAAAGTGTTAATGATCTAATATAATTCCCTCACATAAATAATAATTTTATAACTCCATATCTTCTCGACTAATGACGCCATATGGTAATTCGAAGTTAATTGTATTTTATCAAGTAATGCATAAAGACTAAAAGCTCATTTGGCATTCTACAGTGAGCTATTTCCTAGTTACGAGCTCATCAGTCGGAGTCCAGATAAATATAATGATGAAACTAAAATATCATAGTGATTTATAGTTTGACAAAATATCGGTTTAATATATTATTTATATGATGTACCACAAGACACGAACGCTTCTTTCTGTACATCGCAACGATCTTATTACAAACCTTAAATTTGTGTTCGATTTCCAATATCGTTCACTCGGTCATCGGTTGATCAAATTTGTCGTAATCCAGTTTTTCTTCTCCAAAAATATCAACAATATATACATGTGCGTCATAATATGAGTAGCTGATTAATGAATTTATTAATTGAAACGCATGTAGAGTTATAGGGTTCTTCACCCCAGAACGAGAAGAGCGCAATAAAGTTGAATAACAATTTTTTAATTAACAACACCCATGTATAAACAATGTCAGACTTTATTTGTTTTCTTTAAGATAAGATAGAAAAGAAAGAGCTCATTAAGATGTTATACCTTAAAAGTGGTACATGATTTTAATTTTTTTAATCTTACTTGGTTCGAAAATGCTTAAATATAAAGCAGCTCTTCGGTTTGACTTCAACAGTTGTGGCTTCATCAGCCTTTTACAATGACATATTTTCGAGTTGCTGTCCTCACAGTCAGCCTTTGCTATGCACTGGCATATGACTTCACCTATCCAAATAAAAATGAGGTTACGGGTAATATCTGAAAGTGAATTTTAAATTAAGCATTTCATGTAACATTTGCCATTTCAACAGTTAAGTGCGAGAGCGCCGAGGCACAGAATTACATCAGGATCGGTGAGCACCACTACTATATAGGAAGATCACAAGCTAGCTGGATCGAAGCAGCACATTTATGCCGTCAATATGGTGGCGATTTGGCCCTGATCGAATCGGCTGCAGAGATGAATGCCATTTCAAAGTATCTACTAGAGAAGGGATATGGCAATGATGACAATTTTTGGATATCAGGCGACGATTTTGTCTCAACTCACAAGTTCATGTCTTTAACAAATGGATTGCAACTGCCATTCACCGATTGGTCTGCTGGTCAACCAGACTATCCTGGTCGTGAGCACTGTGTTCATTTGTGGCTGCGGTCGTCTACCTATAAAATGAACAACAATATGTGCGAACGAAAGTTATCCTTTATATGCAAAAGACAGAGCTATACTCGGTGCAGGGACATTTATTAAGCTTATCCTTAATAATTTCAACAATCAAACGTTAAAGCTGAATTGTAACATCTCCACTCATATTGTTGGGGAATCCAAAATTTTGTAATATATCAGAACATTTAAAAGCTCAATAAACTGCAAATAATAAGTTGTCTGTCTTCTTCTTCTTCAACTTTTTCTTGTAATAAAAAGTTAAAAAATACTACGTAGATTTTGTATATGTATGTAATTGTTGTTAATATATTTATTTTCAGAATTCACGGATACACCTTTTTCGAATATAAATTGAATACTATTAACATAAATAGCGCCTAGCAAAAAATGTTTTGAAAATCAGTCGATTATGGCTTGAGCAATCTAACTACTTTAATGACAAACCCAATTTTCTGACATTGGAACAATAAATCACTGGTAAAATGACGCTGTCAAATGTGGAGTGACAGAAAAGGACAACACTGAAAGGAGCGAAAATAAAAACAATGACACAAAACAATTTCGCAAAAGATGCCCCAGGACCACAGGGCCAACCCCAATCGAATGCTGACCAGCATGTCACATCGACCACGTAATACAAGAGGGCCCCCTCATCCTATGGATACACATAGATAAACACACACGCACACACATCAACTCACCTACTACTGGAGCTTGATAAAGGTGTGGAAACGTGCGATTTTGTAATTGATACTAAAAAGCCCTTAATTGGCACCTTAACGCTGCTGATGCTCTGACAAATTTCCCCAAAGGACCAGCCAGGGACTGGCGTTGACAACCGACGTGCGTGAAGCTGAACGGTCCAGGAATGGGCTTGAATTACGGACTTGGTGGTCTCTGCCTGGCTCTTGCTCTGTGTCTGGGTCTGGCTCTGCATTCGACTTGCGCACATGGTAATCCGATACGTTTAGGTAATAGAGAGAATGAAAATCGGTGCCATATAATGCCATAGAATCGTCATTAGCATCATCGTCATCCTCGTCACGACGATGCGAGTGTGGGATTGTGAATGGCAATAAGTGGTATCAAAGTCTAACAGACCAGTCACTTTGCTGGCCAAAAACAAATGGTACTAATCCATAATTGTCTGGCCAGTCGCTGCCGTTGGTCAAGTGGGACTTGAGCCAATAAATCTCATCAAACTAATTCGATACGTGGTGCCAGTGTGTGCGTGTGTGTGTGTAAGTGTGTTTGCTTGTGTATTGGCTGTGTGGTCAGGCTGGATGCAGAGCGAGCCACCCTTGCGGTTTTTGCTTGCTTGTTTGCCAGCCTGTTGTCATTTGTTAACATTTCATTACATTTATTTCACTGGAGCGACTGGACACAATTGCAAAGTGGATGAATGGATTTGCCGTTTGATGTTGCCTCGAGTGTGTAGACCACTTCTCTCCACCCTCCCTCTACCCCCCACACGTACATATACTTCTATACTTCAGTCCATCCCTCGATGTGTGTGTGTGTGTGTATTTATTTGCGCTCAAACCAATTTGTTTTATAATTGAATTTGAAATTGAAGATGACATTCGGTTTCCGATTGTTTGGCGTGTGGTGCAATAGCCACCGGCCAATGGGCCAAGTCTCCGATTCGTGTCATGCCACCAAACAGCGCTTATCTACTCTGACCTCAGCTGTCTATATGTGTGGGTAATTGTATGCACAGATTGCCTATTTAAATGTGTGTGTGTGTGTGTGTGACCATAAATTCAATTATGTATAAAATTTCACAACACCATTTTTCGGCTCACTTTTCCAAAATCGCAATTTTCTATTTAATTTGCTTTCTAGTGTCAAGCTGGTTGGTCTGCGGTCATAAACTTGCAGTGTCGTATATCACTCACACATTGTGCACTTTGACCTGAAGGTCTTATTTGATACACAGGCTGACATTGGTTTCGTTTATGTATCATTTGATTTTATGGTTCTTACGATTCATTTATTCACATTGTGCAAATGATTGAAATTTATAGTTTTACGCAAATTGTAGGCATTTATTTGAACATATTTGATCCGAGCTGACACGTTCTAAATAGTTTATGAATAAGCAGAAATCAAATCCAATTTTTTATATATTATACCCAATAGTAAAACACATAATTAATTTTAATTACTGATGATAACGTTCAACGCATATTACCAACTGGTTATCTGCCGTTGGGATGAACTGTAAATGAAAAGTCAATCACAGTAAATGTACTCCAAAGGCATCGACAATGCTGCAATCCCAAGGCGAATGTTAACTAGACATAAAATTAGCATACATGCCATAAAGCAAATTCGATTTCTATCAAAGACCCAGTGGCAGCAGCCGGCTCTGCGCTTTATAATATAATAGAGGCACTCAGCTGTGCGTCAAGCACTTAACCCGCTTTTAGCAATAAAATTAACTTTTCTATAGACTCCGGCCGGGACCTGGCTACCAGCACGTACAAGTCGAACGTATAGGAAATTAATGGTTTAAGGCAAAAGTGTTTAACGAAAGTGGAAGGCGGGTGCAAAAGCGAAGAGGGGAGCGGAAAGCGGAGACATACACATATATATATACACACACACGATAGATTGAAGGCAGTAAATTCTTCGACTATCTGTGTATTTCACTTTATTGGCGCATAAAAGCCAAAATACTGACGGCACGACAAGCCAGTGGCCCAAACTGAAAACTGGGTAGCTACCCAGTTGGTGGCTCAAGCGTTGCTTCAATTTGAAAGAGAAGCTGTGCTTAAGAAGGCGTGTAATTGAAACATTCAAAAGACAATTTCCAAGTCTTAGCACAGACACAGTTAATGGACGCAAAAGACATGGACAAAGTTAAGAAGTGAAATGCGAAAGAAAAATGGCAAACTGAAGCTGGGCGATTTCGAGGGACAGGGCAAGGGCAAATAACTGCATCAGTGCCGGTCAGGATAGCTGGGAATCAAGCGTGACCGGGGGTCAAATGGATTGGCATGAAATATCTATACTTATTTGTGTCGAGTTGTTGTTGTTGTCATCATCGTTGGTGCTGTTGCTGATGCTGCGGCTGCTGTTGGACAAGGTAGACCTGTGCGGCCTGTTCGTTAATTAAACAAACATTCAATAAGATTGATGGCACTTTGATTGAAAAACAATTGATGCAACTGTGTGGCAACATTAGCATGATATTGGAAGCATGGTCAAAACAGTAAGAAAAAAAAAAAATATATATATATGTATATATATATATATCAACGACGTGTGGCTCTTATCAGCTGGCGTGGCAAAAGTTCAATATGGGAGCGCTTTCGCTCGGGCAAAGTTCGCATAAATAAAACTCCAATATCAATAGAGCCATACAGACTTTATGTATACATAAGCTGATTGGCAGCGTTATATGGTCCTTTTCTGTGGTATTTTAATGGATTTTTGATTTCCACAACGAAGCGACGCTTCGTTTTGGTGGCCAGCTTGTTTGGTGGTGGTTTGTCTGCAATTTTTTATCACTTATGTAAACAAGGGCCATCAAACAACGGGACAGCACTTGCCACTGACACGCTTCGTTTCGATTGGATGGGACTGTGTGGCCCCATAAGTCAAGTTAAAAAAAAACGAGAATAGTTATCAGCGATTGGCAAGGATTATGTCAGAAGTGCTGTAAAAATGATCTGATTTTAATCACACACCGTGTCGTTTTCTATACAACATAATTTCTTACAAGTCCTCATTTAATTCCAATTTAAGAGGAACATAAAACGATTCGTAATTGGCAATTGTTGTCAGCATATCTGTGAAAACTACCGAGCAAGTTGATAAATTAACTTTTCTAGTTAAAATAGACATAGTAATTATATAATTTGGACATCAACACTGGATTAAAAACGTCGAAATTATACGTAATTATGCCAAGGGTGTAAGCACTTAAATTGAAAACGAATATAATTCGTGGCTTCTATGTGTTAAAAATATATTTGAAGCTAATAAACTCATTAATATCTAAGTAATCGGTGGCACATATGTACATAAATACATATTACTACATCTTGGTATTATATATTAGAACTACATAAAATATATATATATTTGGTAAAATATTTTATAATCGGTTAATCGTACTGTGTATAATTTGTGTGTATATTCGTTGGCTTTTCGAATTTCATTTTATGTAGTTCTTAGAAAATTATTGGTGTTCTTATACTAATTTGAAACTACTAAATGTTAATTGCTATCTTTTGTGTTTAGTGTAAAAATATGAAATTTACTCAGTGGCCAAGTCTTTTGTTTGTTTTTGTCTTTTCCTTGTTGTTGTTTAGTTGGGTGTGTTATGTTAGTTGTCCCTAATCTGACGCTTGTGTAAGTTGTTGTTTTCATTCATAAGAGCGCTATTATTGAATAATAAAGTTGAAGCAATTGGTGATTAATATAAGGCATAGCAAACTGTATAACACATGTGTGAATATTTGCTACATCTGACTAGATAAATGTTTGTATAGTATTGGAAATATAATTTTACTTTTAACTCATTAATATTGCTTTTGATTTACACATAATTTGATTCCCTAAACATACATTGCGTACAAATAAATGACACACTCACAATCAGAGTATTAAACGCACTACGTTAAAACAATCACAAAAATTGCAATCAATATCGTGTACAGTTAAATGTACTAGTTATTTTATACGTGCTGCATGTACTAGTATATGTAATATAAGTATAGTATATGTAATATAAGTAAATATAGTTTCCCCAATAATGGAAGTGCCACATAAAACAGCTAGAATAATCTCTGCGCTTAATTAATTATTTATATCACTGCACTAATTTATAAATAAATATGTTTATAAGTTGAAGCTTGTGCCCGTTTACAGAGCTATTAACTTCGATTTGCATTTCTCAGCTGACCACAATTCCAGCAAAGCATCCCGGCTGCCTGGGTCACGTTCTGGGGGAGAATTCTCAGCTGACACGCTCGTAGGACTCAGGACGCCCGTCTGCGAGTAAAGAGATATTGTTATTATGGCTCTCATGTAGAAGCTAAGCGTACTCACCCTATTGGCTATTTTCCGTGGATCCAGATTCATGCCAATGTTCTGCATGCCTTTGGCCAATTTGGAGAATGGCTTGGTAATAGTTTTCAGCTTGTTGGCCTCAAAGTTAACTGGTTGGCCCAGCGGCAGGCTCATGTCTTTGGTAACAACACTAAAAACGAATCAAATAAATTGTAAAAAAAAAAAACAAAACTCGCAAATCGTTTGCCATATAGATTTATATTTTGAGCACTCGTTTCATAAGAATTTGGTTTGTATAAATAAAACAGACACAAATGTTTTGCTATTTGTAAAATAACACCACATGCTTATATAATAAATACTATTCGTATATATGAGAGGAATTGAACAAATAAGGGTTATCGTACATACATAATACTTATCTTTTTTTAAAACTATATTTGAAATAACTGTAACATAACATATACATTTACATAAGAACACAAATACAATTATAATTTCTAGTACAAGGAGATTGGCTAAGGGACAACTAAAAACCTGCACATGTAATGAAAAAAGCCAACTACAAAATGGTGTAGATTATGTGTAAAATACCGACCTTGACTGGGGTATTACCAAACTCGCTTCGAAGTCCACCTCCTGTGCCTCGTCGGCCTCAACGCAAATTAGCGGATTTGGCGTAATTGGCCGCATAGGCGGAGCATTCTCCAGCAGGCCATTGGGCAAGCAAACATTATCCGTTACCGTTGTTATCGAAATAGTTAGCACATCTTCAGCAGTTTTACACATGCTATCCTTTTGCTCCAGCTTCTGTACATTCTGTGAGGAGCTGGGCTGCTCCAATTGACTGCCCATCACGATGCCCACTGAGGGCAGAAAAGTATTCTCTTTGTAGTTGGGTTTGTCCAAGGCAATCTCAGCATCCGAGTCCACATCGGGTTCATACAGGCTATTGTCATGCTCCTCGGTATCCGTACTGCTGGTGCTGCTTGCACGCGGCATGCCGCCAACTGTGAAGACGGCCTTCTCGGCCTCCTGGCAGAGGTCCAAATCAGTGCCCTCTGATTGCCGCATAACTTGCGGATTGAGTGTGGCAGCAACATTGCCAGGCTGTGTGGTGCTTGGGGACTTCTTAAAGGTCTGGCCTAACTTTGAGAACTGTCCGGCAACGTTGGAAATCGCCTTGGAACTAATCTGCACCAACTGAGATTCGGATAAATTACGGGGCATGCCCTTTGGCACATCCAGCAATGGCAGCTTACTCTTGCGACGCTGCAACACTCCACCAACGATGAATTCCACATCCGGATTACCAGCGTTATCTAAAGCAATTCGAAACATTTCCGCAATCGATTTCATCGATTCGCTTAACTCTTCTGGCGTCTTTATAACATATGCCGCGTTGTTAAAGAACCTTAAGTTGGCCGAGCGGAACATGTGAAAGTATCCATCCTGATTATCGACACAATAATTCAGGCGCAAGCAGAGATGCGCCGGCGCAGAGCCCTGAAAGATTTTCGTTTGCTGATACATGCCCAGCTCGACGAGACGCATCTGCGTCAGAGCCACCTTTTTGAAGCGCACAATCTTATCAAGATGAGAATCGTATTCGGCTACCATATAACAATCGTCGGTAAGCAACAGAATGGAGTCTACCTCAGTTTCGTTGACGTCGCCAGTGCTAAAAATAAGCATATGATTAGCATTTGTGGACCCAGTAATACATATTTATGACATTTACTTGGGATCGGCATCGATTAGTCCCCAAGCGCCCACCGGATACTGCTCGGAGCTAAGCAATAAACGGCGGCAATCTTCCACCAACATTTTTGCATGCTCAGCACTTTCGCCATCCACTTCCTCGGGAGCTGTTTGGCCGCCCAAAGCACTGAGCGACTCCGAGGAAACTTGATTACCCAGCATAAGGTCGATGGTGGCCTGGCGGTATGAGTCCTTGAAACGTGCCAGATAATAGCTGCAAGCAGAATATGATGATGTGTTAAAAACAATAAAGTGAGAACTGTACACGAAAACTAAACATGCAAAGAAGCAAAGTGTAGATGAATAAGAAAATTATATTGCAAATCGAATGTCGAACAATATATACCTCTTATAAATTAAGAAACAAGAAAAGCAACTTAAAACTGTAATTGTTTGAATATATTTGATTTGGTTGTTTGAGCATCGGGTGAATCTTCCGGAAAGGACTTCAGCTAGCGTTTTTCAGCGCACCTACTAGTGGCAATCGACTCAAGCAACTTGAGCTCAGGTCCCAGGACGCCCGCATTGTAAAAGCCACGCAAGGGTGGACGTGTCTCTGGTCTAAGTATGTTCAGAATGGTGTCAAGGATTTCATCTTCTCGCAATTCAGATGCCTGCTGCAGTTCACCCTGCATCAGATCGATAATGCACTGACGGAACGAGTCGGCAAAGTTTTGTATGAAAAAGCTACGAAGAAGTGGGGCAGTACATTAGCTAAGAGTCACATGTTTGTACGGGATTAATTGATATACAATCTGCCGATGGCTTAGTAAGTGTTCTGGCATACCATTCACCCAATTAGAAGAGCATGGGTTCAAATTTAACAGTATGCAATGCGTTGATTTAATATCTGCAACTCGTTATCTTTGGGTGAAGTGTACAACAACTGTTTGAAGCTTGAGCCAAATTACAAATTGGAATACCATGTTAGAAAAGAAAAACTCGAAAAAAGCATGCTGTTTTAGTAAATCATATAAACATATCTGAAATTGCTGTTGCAAGCTTGATTGATGACAAGGCGATAGTCTGATGATGACAAAAGCTACCAAAACCCAAGCAATATTATCAACTGTAATTATAATTTACAATTATTATCATAAAATATATGGTAATTAGATAACGAAAAACAATGTTAACAGATAAAGTGTAAGCGGAAAGAATAAGGAGACAGACAGCATTGTGTAATTGAAATATGCTACGAACCGATTGGCCGAGTTCATGCCATCCTTCATCATGCCGCTGATCTTGCGTTCACCCGTGCGTGTATAGTCACCCTGGAATAAATGGATACAAGCATTGATGATATAACATATAGTTGCTAGTTGTGATATATATTAATTTCGAACCTTCAGAGCATTGGTGCCGGCATATTGTCGGCTTATAATGTCACCATTGTTTGCCCACAAAACCATAAATGGCGTCTTAAGCTGCTCCGGTATTGAGGAGTAGGGTGTCGAGAGTCCCAGTTTAATCAGCTGCGATTCCAGCACTGCTTTGCCAATTGCCGTTTGCACCACATTCGTGCGATCCAGGCAATCCATACAGTTCACCCGAAAGACGGACTTCTGATTGCAAATCATGCCGCGCTGATCTCGCCAATGAAAGCCCATGGCGCCTGCCTCAGGACCGACAGCATCAATCAATGCCGAGACATTCTCAAAGCGCATGCCGCGACTGATGGATATATTTAAAATTGGTATATATTCTCAAATTCAATTCCAGATTTCACCACTCACCAATAGTCGTGAAAATCGAATGTGACATAGATTAGGTGTTCGTTGTTGTATTTTATCACATGCTCTGCAAAGGCATCGCCAATCAGTTTCTCCTTGCCGTTCTGTTCCACCAAATTGATAATGCACACGCGCTCATAAATGTTCAGCTCTTTGGTAAAGTGCAGCTCAAAGGCCTGTTGCGTTTCGGCCACACCTCGATCCATTCGTGGCGGCGGGCGATACTTGTAGCCGGGCTGACTCCAGTAAACGGGCACCGAGCCGCGCACCTGTGTAAACGACAACTGATGATGTCGAAATGAGAGTATCTGCTCCGTCTCCACATAATTGGCACAGTTGCCCTTCTCATCCACACCGCGCCGCTTGTATCTGCAAGTGTAAAATCATAATTAGTTGCTGGCAACTTTGAAAAGCCTAATATATCAATGATGCTTACCGGGTGCCCGCCCGATGACGAGATCGTCGCGAAACCAATGCCAATGTGAAGCAGTCATTGCCTATAACGCAGGCTTCCACTTGCATAAAACCCTGAATGACGGGTAGTATCCATGTCTTATCCTGCCAAATACAATATGTGAGCATACATAGATAGGGAGTACATCTATTGTAAAATTACATTCATTTTGAGTATGTCTCGGATCATGTGCATGTTCCAGAAGAACCTCTCATCTGGCTGTGATGGTGCATTATCCTCGCCGACATGGTGCCTCTGCAGATTATTGGTTATGTCGCAGTCGAAACTAAAGTAGAAGCTATCCGTGTCGTCGAATATCTTGTGCAGCTCCTCCGTAACGCGTCGCTCGATGTGTCTGGGCTCCCGTATGCCCACCGAGCTCTTCACCTGTTTGGTGGCCAAATTGGCCGCCTGCTGTGTGGTAGCCTTGATTGTGCTGCCAGCGCTCTTGACCGCACCCCAGGTCTTATTCATGCCGTCAAAGATTTTCGTGCTCTTCGCGAAAGTCGCTGGAGCCGCTCTACCGCTCGCATTGCTGTTGCTATTGTTTCTTGAGGAGGCGCTGTGAGTTGGCGTGGAACTGTTACTTCTGAGAGGGGGGGTTAAAGGATATTAATAATTTGAGTATTGATATTCTGCAGTCAAGAAAACTTACTTTGTATGTTTGGTGCAGTTGGGCAGATCAGTATCCGGCTCATCGGCACTGAGTATGCAAATGGATTTGATCTTGTATACCAAATGCGGCGGATATAGGACTCCCACGGCCGTTGCCTCCTTAACAACCACCAAATGTGGCTCATAGACATTTGGTAGCGAAATGACGCCCACAATGCCATGCGTAATACCAATACACTCGATATCTTCCACAGAGCTCAGATCCCATCCTGCAAAATAGCATTTACAGTGTGCATATAGAATTAAGTCAAATTGCCTGTCTAATGCTGCCCACTTAATGAGCCAGCGTAATGGCCAGTAGCTGTCATGTGGCCAATATTGCATTTATTGCCGTCTAATGATAATGACCGTTTGATGTTTGCTGGCCATTATGAACAATTGATATACTATGCAGCAACGCCGCTTAACTCATATATAGCGCATACGCCCCCTAATCAACAGTGGAAACAGTCGTCTTCCGACTTGCCTACGAATCATGCACTGATGAAGCTATAATGCCATAAAAAACTAATAATATGAGATTTAATTTGTTCATAATTTTTTTTTTAATTGTTTATGAAATTTGCTGATGAGGAATGAAGTTTTTAAAGTAAAATGTACGTCATTTAAGTCTCAATAAGTCCAACGTGAGTCTGTTTTTATGCTGCCAGTCAACTCTGATGACAATCATTTGAAGCAATGAAAAATGTGTAAGCAAAATTGCGCCTATTTTTCTCAGAAGAAAGCCATTTCCTGCTAATCTTATCAAATTGGCAAGTTTATCTGGTTTATGAGCATATACAAGCTTATCACTTGAAACAAAGAATAACATTTCTGCAAAACTTAAAGCGGAAGCTATAACGCAAGGCAAGTCTTGGGTGGCCATAAATAAAATGTGAAAATGGCGAAAATCAAATTTGTTTTATGGTGGTGACAAAACAAAGAGGACAAATGGGGGGCAAAAAACTCATTTTCAACGGAACACCAAATGTTGATGGGAAAAAGAGCTGCTTTGACCCCGAATGAGATTTATGTATGCATTTGCGACAAAGCAAACTTTGCTGCACATCAAAGTCAAAAGTCACGGCCACTGTATGAGTCACGAACACTGTTGGATTCTATCTGGGATTTGGACAACGTAAAACACAAAATTCAATCAAAATGGGAACTCAAATTGCTAAGCAGTAGCGTGTCGACAAAAATGGCTATAATTGTAATGCCTGCGCAATTAACAAAGCATTTAACACGACGACAGGACGAAGGACGATCGAAATGTCATTATGTCCAATTAATAGCCGAGCTTTATAAATAAAGTCAACAAGCGCCGTTGACAGATATCAAAATAAAGATGGTAAGGAAAAGCAATGATTAGCACCAAGTGGAATACTTAATTGAGGTACAGTGGGCGCTTGTTAATCATATTGAGATGAAAGTATAATATAATAATTATATATGGATATAAGATAATAAACGATTTTAAAGAGAAGTTACCACTATCGAGCGCCCACTGTACAAAATAGACAGCGCAGTGCAACAATTAATCACAAGGAAAGACGCCCACAATAAAAACAGACCGGAGCAAACAATACAATCCGTAATCAGGCACATCAAATGGACAACAGGAGCTGAACTTCATGACCCCCTTCTCGCCTACCCACGCACAGCCTTGACATTCAACGCAAAAAGTAGAGCAGCTCAAACACACACACACACAGCACACACACACATAACATGCACTATTTATAAACAGATAAGAGTGGCTGCTCCGAACGCAAGGCGTCCGTTCTAGTTTTTCAAGTGCAGAAACGTGTGCGAAATGCTGATAATGCCATAATGACACTGCACCAACAGCAACTGCAACAACAAATAATTGCAAAAACAACTGCTGCGTTGCAATAGCTGAATGATTCATCTCCGTTATTACCTGGCTTTATTGTAAATTCAGATGTTTTGCGATTCCACCAGAGACTCTTGTCCCGCTTTACGAAAATGTAATGCGTATCGGTTTGGAACACCTCCATTATGGCGAGTGCGCGTTTGTGCTTTGACTATATTATTTGTGACATTTTACACTTGCAATTAATTTGTATTCGTTTTTTTACAATTAATTTTGTCCCATGGTTGTTACACTGCTTCAACTTTTTTGGAACTGTAATCGAGCGAACGAGCGTCTCTCAGTGCTAAAGCGATAAGCACAACATCGTTTGTCGGCCCACACACGTCAGCAATAGTCGTACAGCCTGCGAACTGTGCGATAGTTGAACAACCAAATGTTGTGCTGTATACACGTAAGTAATACTTTTTCACTGGCATTTTGAGTTTTTTTTTCCTTGAGCTTGAGTAGGGTTAATTTGAGAGTTGCTCAAACAAAGTAAAGCTACTAGTTACTTGTATAGATGGTTGTACGATATGTATTGTAGTAAGTCGTTTATATCGATAGATTGTAAACAATAGCAGCTGAGTGTCGCAGCAGGCAGCTATATGTATGTGATGTGTATCAAACAGCTGAGCGTTCAGATGCCAAATGGGAGTACAAATTAAATAACAATACCAACAACATTTTTGTACAAAATCACACAAAAATTAATGGCGCTGCGGAGCATCACAAAACTGGAGACGTTCCTCAAGCGATATAGTGCACCCACGCTGTACTACTGCCTCCATAGATCCACCCAAAGTTCAACATGCAACAGCACAAACACCGACAACGGCAGCCACAATACAAATTATAATAGTAGCAACAACAATAACAACAATAATGATAATAAGCGCTTCAGTTGGCGCAGCGCCATTCGCTTCCTTGTGCCCTTCTCGCTGGGGGCACTGGCCAGCTCAGTGGTGGCCGGAGACCGGGAGCTGATGCCAACGATTTCGGCCAAAACGTTGACCAATAATCGGCGTGATTTCAACTTTATTGCGGATGTGGTCGCCAGCTGTGCCGATTCTGTGGTCTACATTGAGATCAAGGATACGCGCCACTTTGACTATTTCAGTGGCCAGCCCATTACCGCATCGAACGGCTCCGGATTTGTGATCGAACAGAATGGCCTGATTTTGACAAATGCCCACGTTGTAATCAATAAGCCCAACACGATGGTTCAGGTCCGCTTGTCCGATGGCCGCACATTTCCCGCGACCATCGAGGATGTGGATCAAACGTCAGATCTCGCAACACTGCGCATCCAGGTGACCAATCTGTCCGTGATGAAGCTGGGCAAGAGCAGCACTCTGCGTTCCGGCGAATGGGTCGTCGCCCTGGGCAGTCCGCTGGCGCTGAGCAATACGGTGACGGCGGGCGTCATTAGCTCCACGCAGCGGGCCTCCCAGGAGCTCGGTCTACGCAATCGTGACATCAACTATCTGCAAACGGATGCGGCCATCACCTTCGGCAACTCAGGCGGGCCGCTGGTGAATCTGGACGGCGAAGCCATTGGTGTCAACTCGATGAAGGTGACGGCTGGCATCAGTTTCGCCATACCCATTGATTATGTGAAGTTGTTCCTCGAACGCGCTGCGGCACGTCGCAAGAAGGGCTCCGCCTACAAGACTGGCTATCCGGTCAAACGCTACATGGGCATCACCATGCTCACCCTGACGCCGGACATTCTCTTCGAGCTGAAGTCGCGAACGCAAAATATGCCCGAAACTCTGTCGCACGGCGTTCTCGTGTGGAAGGTAATTGTGGGCTCACCGGCGCATAGGTAAGCATCAGCACAGGGTAAATGATACTTGCGAGTCCGACTAATATAACTCGAACTTCGCTTTACAGTGGTGGTCTACAGCCAGGCGACATTGTTACGCATATTAACAAGAAGGAGATCAAGAACTCATCGGATGTCTATGATGCTTTGGCGGACGGCAAGAAGGATTTGGATATGGTCATATTGCGGGGTGTGAAGCAAATGCGTGTGACTATTACGCCGGAAGACCCTTAATCCGTACGCTTACAGCTACAAAAGCCTTTGCGTCAATTTGTGTAATGTTTGTGATTTGCAATATATTAAAAAGGGAATTCCGCTATTACATTTGATTCACTGTCACGTAGCTGCCAGCATTTGTCAGGCTCGCGCAGCCTTTAATTAACCGCCAAATTCAAAACATGAAAACATTTTGACAATTGTAGCAATTTAAGTTTGGATGTTTTTTGCCTAAAATCTTAAACTAACAACGAGCTCGAGCACAACAGGAAATCTGTTGAAGACAGCAAGATTAATGCAAATCAACAGCAATATAAAAAAGAAAGAAAAAAACGACAACTAAACTCCGCTAACGAAGTTGTCTATGGGAAATTTGCATAGATCGAGTGCTGGCATTATCGTTGGCCATTTGAAATAACGACAAAATCGTAACTTCATTTACGCATCAGTTGCTGTTTTTTAAGCGTCTGCAAAGATTTTCGATTTCTCTTTTGTGGCTCGTCTCCCAATATGACTGTCCGGTCCGTCCATCTGTCTGTTTGTCTCCGTGTCTGATCGAACAACGGCAAAAATGTATTTACGCTAATTGAAATATCTTGCGTTGCGATCAATCGATGCCATATTTTTTTTGTAGGCCAAACCTCGGACAGACCAACAAAAACAGCAGCAGCAGCAGCAGCAACAACAACAACAACAACAACAAAAGCGTCAGCATCGAAAACCGAAATGCAAATTTCAATAAATTTATGCAACTGCGTTCGCATTTTGTGGGTGACATGGCAGACGATGATGATGATGTTATTTGTTGGTGTTGTTGTTGTTGTTATCTTCTGTCGTTGCGTGAAAAGTGAAATTCTTGTGATTATTAATTTTATTTTCGCTTTTGGCAATATGCCTGGCTGGCCGCCTGCCTGCTACGCTTTTTTAGTCTTTGCACATAAATTCGCTTATTGAATTCACATTTCGCTCTTTACCCTCGAAGCACTGTTGCTGTTACTCTGTTACTGTTGTTGTTATTGCTGTTTATGTGGCATCGGCCTTTATGACACTGTTGGCACTAAGTTACCTTTATTGCATATAAGCCGCACGCATAAGTGCAGCTTTATGTTCATAAATTTACCAATACTCGACGGGGTTAAGCAAACAGACCTTTTTGTCCACATGGCGCTTACACTTTCTTCCTTGGCCCAGTCTCCAATGTACCATTGTACCATTGTATGTTTCTCTTTCCGCCTCTCTTCTCGCCTTTTCTATAACTAATTGAAATATTAAAAAAAAAAATTAAAAAAAACCCACAAAACTATCGCATTCAAACGTTGCAATTAACTTGTGGTCGACATGAACGAATTTGTTGTTGTTTTTGTTGTCGGGCTTAAATTACAAACCTGTGAGAAATTTATTTGTTGCACTACATTATTGGCTATTGTCTATGGGCATGGCTAGAAAAATTGTCAGAAAAATAGGATCGTAAAATATAAAATAAAAAATATGTAAAAGCAGTAAATTTCTGAACTTTGACAACACAAATTGGAAATGCTTTTGCTGCATTTAACTAGAGTAATTATGTTTTTTTTTTTAATCTTAAGTAAGACAACTACGTAAGTAATTTTTGTTTTGTTAAATGAATTTGTATTTTGTACTATAAAACCGTGGACTATTATTTGATTTTAACTTAAATAAAATGTAAAATCAATGTGCTACTAAATTTCCTTAGCAGCAGAGTAAGGTAGACAAGAGAAAGCATATTGTAAAACTTAAAAGAGCATTTAAGTTTCGTTTGTTTTTCGATTTTGAATAATTTGTTGTATTTTAAATTAAGATCATACTAATGTGGATGCTGCGGTTGTTTGTGCTGTGCTGTGCACTCTGTCTGCTGCCTGGCGTTGCGTATTTTGTGGCTGATCAAGTTCACACGCCTCGTCTATGGTAGAAACAACAACACCAACAACAACAGAAACAACATCGGATGTGTGTACAAATGTAGACATGTATGTAAGTGTAGCGTTGTTTGTTTTACACTTTCATAAATGGCAATAATTATAAATCGCATTGGCGCTGCTTCCATCAATGGCTGATCATTATTATTGCATATTGTATTATATTATATTGATGAGGGTCAGTTTGGCATAGCCATTCGCTGATGTTGATTGAGTTATTAAGCGTGTTGTTAATTGCAACACATGACAATTAAGTCGAGACCGTCGTTGTGATGTTTTGTCGCGTTAACCCAAAAATGTCAGACATAAGATTTTGCACGTGTAATTATATGTTAGGGGTTGCCTGGCATTTGATGCTTGACGCGACCTCAGCACGTCTTCGAGCTTTGGCACCAATGTGCTTTGGCACAATCAACAGCCGACAACATCTACATCAACATCAACAGCAATAGCAATGGCAATAGCGACACGGGCAACAACAGCATTAACAACAATAATAACGACTTTCTCGAATGTTGTTCCCATGAACTGTTCACATTTAAACGTATCGGCAGGCGCAATGGAATTGCATTTCCAATAGCAACAACAACTGCAACAAAAACATGCTAAACATTAAAGTTCATGACACACAACTGTAAAATATTTCAGAGCCTTGCAACTTTTACCCAGCGATAACAAATGGCTGCAACTTAGCGCCCCCAAAAGTTCAAGTCCCGCATATGAAAAGTTCTCCTCAAATGTCTGTCATGGACAGGAAGTCAACGATGCCAACGCCGACGCTGACTTCGACTTCGACTCCAACTTCGACTCTGACGTTAACATCTTAGACAAAAAGGCAAAGCCAAGAGCAGCAAGCTGGACGGCCGATGGCCAACGCCGCTGGCCATAAATCATTTAAATATGCCAAAAACTTACATAATAATTCTGGCAAAGCGATCATGTGAGCGTGCCTCAAGATGATCATATTTGACAACTGGACGGCGGGGGTGGAGATGGACAAGATGGAAGTTGAGTTCCAGCTGTATAGCTATGAATGTGTTTAAATAGATGTATGTATGTATGTATGTATATATGTTTGGAGTAGAAACTGTGCCTTGGCATCGATCCCGTCATTGGCTGGCATTAATCAAAAGACCGAGAAACACTTTTTGCCGGTTGGCTGGCTAGCTGACTAGCTGGCTGACAAAACGAGTTCGCTAATGAAGTCATCGTTATCGTCATCGTCATCGTCATTATGGAACTGTCCAAATTGAAATGTGTTTTAATGTGCCATTTTATGCAGCTCACCAAATTCACTTCGGTAATGGATGCCACTAGATTAACAAGTGCACCAAATGAAATATCATGCAAAATCATGAAAAATTATGATGATTATGCGGAAATGTGTGGCAACTGTGGCCACTGGGTAGAAAAATTTGAATTTATGAAATTGCACAAGGCTTTACAATTACTAAATTATTACCATCATTGTGGAGTGTTGGTGTTGTTGCTGCTTGGGCTGCCGCCGGCTGCCATGCAGCATTTCATTTAAATTTTGTACTTGGTAAAATAGCATTTTGGCAAAAATATTCAACAGCCTGTTGGCAATAGCTTAGTGGGTCAGTTTACACATCTGGCTGAGCTGAGCTGAGTTGGGTCTGTGTGTCCCCCGGGTACTGGCTCCGCATAGCTGTGTGTCTCGTGGTCTGTGGCTGTCTAGTGTTGGTCAAATATTTGCGGCGGCGTCAAAAGTCATCATCATTAATAATGATGAACATTTCACCTGCTGCAGGAGCGTTGCTTCAACAGTTGTTGTTGTTTTCTTTATTTAGGCACAAATCTATCCATCAATTATGTTCAAGTGCGGCCTCAAGTTCGTTGCCTAAATCGTTTGTTTTGGAGCAGTGAAACGTTGAGAACGCTACAAGTCGTGACTAAACCAGCTTCTAAGCTTCAACTTAGCTTGGCTGTAAATGTATCTCTCGCTACCAATACTACTGCGAGTATTATCTGTCAAATGTCAAGTGTTTCAGCCAACCCCTCACCCCCCACATGACCGCTTTAGTCGATTGATTGATTTGTCAGCGTTACGTTTGTGACTAGCACACATAAGACAAACATTAAACGATTTATGTTTGATTCCAATTTGGGACAAATTATGCAAATACCTGCACAGGCGGTCGAATATATAAAATCGATTGAATGAAATGATGTCATCACAAATGGCGCAGCAGTGAAATTGAGCCAAAGACACCACATTCAGCCTGTCGCAGCCAGTGTTCATTTAGTTAGTAGTAGTAGAAATCAGGCCACCAGAATTAGTTAATTGTTGCGATTTTTCACAAAAAAAAAAAAATTGAAACATCTTCCGGCATGGAGTGTTCCAGACACCAAAAACAAAGACATACGACGTGTGCGCCGAAATTAGTTTTTCGCATGCTGCCTGCCCCGAGGCGCGAAAATATTTTTCGCATGCAAGGTGCGGCATCAAGGCGGTAACGGCAACCACAACAGCAACAAAAACAGCAGCAACAACAGTAGCCGCTAGCAGCGAGTGTTGCTCTAATTTATAAAATGCTATCCGCTACCAAGTTGGCAAAAAAAAAAAAAAAATACTGCAGAAAGACAAAAAATCAGCTAAAAGTGCTTTTAGTGAATGATTGACTAATTGATACTCTGCAAAACACTACAATAAAAAGTTGGTTTATTATTGATTTATTTCGGCGTCGGCCAATTTTTAACTATGGTCACAAAATGATCCAATAGACTTCAACAATTATTTTAGCCGTGTTTATAGTGTCAATTTTAGTTGATAGTTTTATGGCAAGTACAACTTTCTAGCTATAAATCAAAGTGCTAGCTAACCCAGCTGCAGCTACCCTTGTCGTTCATTTTTATGGCTATGGGGTATTTTATACAAATTAATTGCTTTGCGGTTCTCACACACAAGAGCACAGCAAAAATTTCACTTCTTTTGAAATTCCGCAGCTCGACGCGGCGATGCTCGATGCCCGAGGCATTTCTTTCACACTTTTTCTCAATGTTTCTATCGCCTCAGTTGCTGATCTTGTTGCTGCTGTCTCATGGGTTGGTTGTTGTTGTTGCTGTTGCTCTTGCTTGTGCCTTTGTTTATAACGCGTGAAGCGCTGGTTTTGAGTCGCCCACCCATCATAAATGCCGTCAAATGTTT